CATGTGAGTATGTAACTCCCCGGTATAACCCATTCTGGTGATTGGCTCTCTCGTTAGGGAAGTACTAGAATCATGACATATCCCATGTCGGTGACACGTTCCATTTTGTCAGGGGAGTATTATAATCCCGACGAAGTTGCATTTCAATTCGTTTAACACAATTTGTTTTTCAATTCACTACAGCTATTCTGGAGAAGCAATCTGTCGGAGTTGGATTGGTCAGTATTCAGGGCGTCATATCACGTCACTTTCTGGCTATGGATGACACTGGCACGATATATCCTTCAGTAAGTATTGTTTCTATTCCGTCTAATAATTGCACGGCATAATTCCGAGTTCCTTTATGATAATTAATTACTAACAATAATGCTGTGAAGAATCACAATGCGAAATATGGACAAATACAATGTTTTCAAATACAATACAATTTTCAAAAGAAAAGAACTTGATCAATCACAATGTTTATGGCAGTAAAATAACTGAAGGCAATTCACGCTGTCTGCCACATCGATCTTACATCGTAGACAGCGACAATGTAACTGACCTTTGACAAACAAAAGTTTCTAACTAATTTAGTGACAAAGGCTTACAAATTTAATTTAATTTTAGAGACCAGCTTAAAAATAAATTTAGTCCAGTCCATCCACAATCCCAACATGTTATAGTATAGCCTCTTTACTCACAGATTTGCAAAACGTGAATGAAACGTGAGGAGATATGAGCTGCATTTTTACCATTTTTTAATCATGATTCATGTACTGTAAATTGTGACAAAAAACAAACAATTGAATCTATAAAGTGAATACATATGAAGTATCATGTAGTGAAATGTACGTGTTTTGTAAGCGAGCACACATCACCTTATAAGGCTTTGTTCAAATAATATATTCATTTAATGAAATTATCATCAATCTACGCCATTCAACGTAACATACTAGTATATCACCCTGTATTTATTCATGTGACGTCACACTGGTGTTTTAGACAAGGTAGTATTAAGCAAAACCATTATACCAATGTATAAAATCCTTATTAAAATGTCTTAAATTGTCTTTTTCAGAGCACTTTCAACGAAGATTGCCGCTTTAGGGAATCATATCGAAATGGGTATTACTTTTATTCATCGGCCAGAGATCCAACTTGGTTTATCTCAATCGATCGAAACGGCCAAGTGAAGAGAAGCCTGGGGAATAGTCGGAAGAGAACGCACTTCCTGCCACTCCTAACATTGCCGGTAGCGCGTCCAATCTGATAAGCGACTGCAATGAACCAGCACGTCTTCGTTTATCAAAATGAACGATTTCATTTCTCGGACACAATTGCAGACTTTGTATTGTTGTTGTTTGCGGACCTATTACAGATGGCGCTTATATGTAGCCTTTTTACACCGCCTTGTGTCTACCGAGACAATGTCCTACTGTATTGGCGCAGACACTCGTTCTGTAGATGGTTATCGTATCAAACCAATTTTAACCGCCCCTTTTCTTCATCAACGTTCAGTGCACTCTATGTCATTTACATATCTGACTAGTTTCCAATCCGTCGTAAATGTCACGAACTGGAACATTCTTCTGGCATAACTGTTATGTAAATATGTTTTTTTTTTATTTATTAATTAATGCCTTTCATTTCCCGGTACTTCGTAACCCAGGATACTGTGTATACTGTTTTCATTATTTTTGAATCGAACAAAAACATGACGAATGTGGGTGGAACATTTTCCTCGAGTGTGTAAACACTGCGTTATGACGTCAGTGAACAGTGGCTATAGAATTTGCATGAAATCGTGTTCATTTCTATGTCGACAATGTAAATATACTACGCGAACACAGTCACGGTTATGTTAGCTGTATAAACAAGTGTATATGTATTTATATATAATAAGTAGTCTGTATGTACGTATATATCAATGATGTATGTGACATGTCAGTGACGACGTCACTCATGACGCGTTAACTCTTAGTGTTTTATAATAGAATAGATGACGTCACGCATAAATAATGTACAATTTTGGCAATGTATTTGTCGGAATCGAGGCTTTCTTTTGTATCGAATGAAATGTCAGTTGACGAGCTTTAGATGATTGTGGAGTGGAATTATTGAGCTCAATAAAGAAATCACACGTAAAGCACAATGCATACTCTTTTGGAGATGTTATTTGTTTCCCACCCCACAGTCAATAGGTCCAAGCATAACAATGATATACGACTTTTAACACGGTGTCACTGTTTACACACGAAAACAATACTGCTTGGTCAGTTTGGTTCTCATGCATCCACGATTTTCCGGAAACTCAGTCCCCATTTACCGAAGAGCACGCACACCACCTGCATACCAAAATAAACTATTCATCATGATGTCATCATTTGTACGCTGATTTGAAAAGCTTGACTGATCTCAGCTCTAGCGAGTTACGGTTTTTACCCATTTTAACTTTAACTTTAGATATATGGGTTCCCCACAGTGATTTAACGTCCATTGATAGAGAGGAGTTCTTGATTGCAACAAATTGTAAGAACTTGTATAGTGCGTTGATGGTATCCTAAACACCGTGTAACACACTCGCATTAAAGCTCTCGGTGCGTCACAAGTTGAACTACAGTGTGACATCTGTAAGCATTGTTATTATTATAGTATTACTAGTCCAATTGATTGCATCACTACGCTATGTACACGGACTATATACAAATAAACACATTGCAACGAGCAATGTACATCACTCACGGGAAATATTCCTGCAAATTCAAAATGTGGAATGTATGACAACGGACAACAGATGGCGCTATTTAATATACGATTAAAGACCCAATTTATCGAAACATTTGCAATTTCTCGGTAGGGAATACATTGATTACATAACAAAGACTGCTCAGTCATTGGAAGAGTACAGTGTAAAAAAATAAATAAAATGAATGTCAATAAATTATAAGTTGACGAAGGAAACTCAAATTGCAAGGTGTAGATGTCTCGATGATAACGTGATATATGGATATAAGTGTTAGTATTTTTATTATCATTTTAAGCAAAGCAATGAACAAAGTTTGTAAAATGCTGCGAAGGCGGAAAGACATATATTTATATAATATTTATAGTCTATAAACGTATTTATAACAATTGTAAATATTGTATAGCTGTCATTCAAATACTCAATGGTGATTGGCTCGAGAGCTCATTTGCCACGCCAATTGCCGACGCCTAGTACGAGCACAAATGCATTTAAGTGACGTAGAAACTGCGACCGCCCATTCTTTCAAAATGAAG